CCTTTTGCTCTAGGCAATCAATTTGATACCATAATGTCTCGTAAAGTGGGAAAAAAAAAGAGCAAACATTCCAGAGCTGAGCAACATCCTCACTCGAGATTTGTACAAATAAATTATCTAGTTAAAAGGAACCACAGAGAGAGAGCAGTGGATACAGAGCAGATTTGATGGCTTTAGAACCAAGCAAAGGGCAGAAATGCTGCCAGAGAAGATCACCAGAATTCATAACTAAAAGAATAGCAACAAGAACCAACACAGATATTTTTGGAAAATGCATTTTACAAAGTAAACTATAATTGCAACGACTTTTGCTCCAAGATGCCAGCTATTCCTCAAGGTCTTATTTATGAAACCCAACAATAGACCTCTTCTAATCAAAAGTTAAACGGGTAAAAGACCAAGGAAACTCTTAAACTATTGCCATTGTCTACTTTTGACCCCTCATCTAAATTTTGTTTTCGATTGGCCCTTAAACAATTAAATCTGCACACTTTGAGGGCTTTCAGTGACTTTAGGCATAAATTTGGCGGGATCTAAAGGGCATTTTTGTTCATTCATAACTGAAGCATCGAGACCAGCATCGAAAACCCTAACAAAAGGTAACCCTTCAATTTCTTAAGCACACCATTAGATTTTTCTTCACAAATCCTCTGAAAATCGAGTTTTACCCATAAGAAAAAAGCTTTGCACCATGCCTCACATGTGGTGTTTTTTTCTAGTCATTTAAAAGCTTCAGCTTTGCACCATGTCTCGCATGTAATGTTTTTTCCAGTCATTTAAAAGCTTCACTATCAAAATCTTTTGGTAAAACTCGATTTTCAGATGATTTGTAAAGAAAAATCTAATGGTGTGCCTAAGAAATTGAAGGGTTACCTCTTTTTAGGGTTTTTGATGCTGGTTCCCAAACTTCAATTACGAACGGACAAATATACCCTTTAAATCCAGCCAAAGTTATGTCTAAAGTCACCAGAAGTCCTTAAAGTATGCAATTTTAATTGTTCAAGGGCCAATCGGAAACAAAATTTAGATTAGGTTCCTAAAGCAGACAACAGCAATAGTTCAAGGGCTTCCTAGGTTTTTACTCAAAGTTAAACATAGCCCAACTTAAACTGAATACCTCATATATGTTATCCAGTCTTTCACTTTTTGTCCACACAGAAAATTTTGGCCAAATGCAGAAATACATTTTCATCATCTTTTCCAGTTCCTCAAGTACAGCCATTCATTTTGGAGCACACACCTCATACTTGGATTATGATGCCTACTTGACACAAAAGAGGGGTGGAAAACAACTCAAAGAATCACCTGGCAGTTTGCTGCAGAAACATGCTCAGATGGTATCCAAATATCTAGAGTAGGACCATTTGAAGAACTTTCAGACATCTTATCTGCTTGAGATGCTTCATATTCTTTCCATCCTTTAGTTAGCTCTTGCACACATTCACCAACTTTATAAACACTGGTGGACAAATCAGGTTTACCTGCCATCAAGACAACTTTAATATACAAATTGTGACACAGAAGATGATAAAAAATCTAAGCCCAATGATTGAGTAATTTACACAAAGAAGACCATGAAAGTGAAAAAAGCCTATCACAATCCACTGAACGTATTCGAACAACACAGAAGGTCCAATCAAAAACTGAGGAACATAAGCACCTTAAAATTTTTAAGTCTTTGGCAAACATGTTTCAGACAGAGTCTAAAGATGCTCAGGGAATTCTTCTCATGAATTTGGAAGATGGAAACAGAGGAAAGTAAAATTGTCAAAGGTCCTTAATGCATTACCAAGTACAAATGAAGTGCCATACCAAAATCAAACCTAGTATGGCCAAAGCTCCTGACTGTTTTTCTGAGTAGATATGAAGAAGCAAGGTATCACATCTCTAAGCATACCACGAACTGCTCAGGAAGTCTTTTCTTGAATTTGGAAGATAAAAAAAGAGGAAACTAATATTGTCAAAGGTCCTTAATGTATTACCAATTCCAAATGAAGAAACATCGTACAAAAAGGAACCTAGTATGGTAAAAGGTCCTGACTGCACTGCTGAGTAAAGGTGAAGCAGCATGGTACCACATTTGTAAGCAAGCCATGAACTGAATTAATATCATCAGCATTCTCATTACCCAATAATCCATCAAAGTGTATTTGAAAAAGGTATTATAATCTGCAAGATGGGATCTTAGATGAAATCACACTGCCAGTTTGTCACCAGGGAACCTACTGGTTCACCCCTCTCTGCATCCAGGAGGGGAAAGTTTTGAACCATTAGACTCTACAAAATTAATCATTTCCCCCATGCAGCAGAGATACTCCCTCCAACCAAACTTCAATGTCTTTAAATTCCAGGTATGGGAACTAACTACTCTTTCCGTTCCGTTTTCCCCCTTCATTTTCAGAATTCACTTCCACATGGTAATTCTATATCTGTAATTTCACATGCCTGTTTCAATTCAAATTTTGTTATTTCTTCAACTACTTTTTCACAACTTAAAAAACACAGAAAATCACTACTCCAAACAATCCACATCTGACTCCAAACAATCCACATTCAAAGAAAGCATTTGAGATAAACCATTGTAAAAAGCCCGAAAATAAGTTTGACAGTAAATCTTACCATTGTTCAATATAAATTCCTGTAAATTTACTTGCTAGGAAATAATTATCAAAGCATATTCTGAATGGTTACAAACTGGGACACTTCTAAGACAATGGATGAGTTACAATCTTATACTTCCCTCATGATTTATAATTTCTGAGCCATTTTTCTATACCAAAGGTTAAAAAGTGTGATCTCAGAAGTCTGTTAAAGCAAGTCAAAAGTCTGAAAATAATAACAGTGGCTTTACAAACAATTGCCGTTCTAGATGGAAGAAATGTTGATGCTGCTTAGGAAGTAGAACATATGCATGAAAACTAGCTCCTTAGCAGCGCTAAGTGCACTGAGACTATGACAATATGGATGCTTATAATGGACTAGCCTTCCTTAGCAGCGCTAAGTGCACTGAGACTATGACAATATGGATGCTTATAATGGACGAGGATTTCACAAAACAGAGGCATGCAAAGGGGAGAGAGCTGAGAGAACAACCTGAACAACAGACACATTACAAGCGTGCACGCGGACACACATTTGTATAGGTGGCTTCATGAATGAGAGAGAGAGAGAGAGAGAGAGAGGTGCTTCCATGAGATGCTATAACAGCAGAACAAAACGTCAATCAAATCTTGATTAAATTAGTCAAACCATATCAGGCATAATCCAATTCGAGCATCTTAAGCCAGAAGGGGCACATATCAAGTATAACTTTCTATCCATTCAATACAATAGAAAATAACATCAAAAAGCCCAAAAATTTTTCATGTAAAATATCAATGCAGACTTTTTACAAGGCAAAGCAAATGTTTGTAACCTTTTCATATAACTAACTCGGTAGCCCAACACCAGCAATCTAACACGAAATTTCCTACATAGCGTCACGGAATAAATGATTCACAGAGTAAAGCATTCATTAAATTCAAGCTGAAAATATATCCAAGTATGAAGCACTTTTCTTCTGACTTGTCCCCAAACTATGAAGCACTTTTCTTCTGCATTGTCCCAAACTATGTCCCATTTACATGATAAGCCACAGTTCACATGTTCTATGTTTTGTATAGTCATCAAAGGGTCTGAAAGCATATGAAAAAGAAGTACAGATGGGCAAAGACAAAAATAGTCAAGTTATGCCAACATTTATATGCAAATACTCCTCTTCTATAAATCAACTTCTTAATTCTCTGTTGCATGAATCAACGTAACAGCTTACCTTGAGACCTGCAAAAAACAAAGGGCAAAAGGCAGTAAGTAACCTATATCTTTGAACCAATCAGTAATAAGTAACATTGTACAAGTAAACTCGAAGTCTCCTTTTCACATTAGCATGCAAACTACTATCTACTAGATGGTAGACCACTCAGAATACATAAAATTTGTCATCAGTATTAATGATAAATGCAAATCCATAGCTCCACTAACATCAAATCATTGTCACAGAAATAATTGTACGTTGCAATATTAACCTTTACTCATGCGCTGACTTGTCAAGTGTTTCCATTATGCAGTAAATAATTGAGCAAATAATCATATAAAATACAATTTTTCATTCCTTGGTACAAACTTAGTGTTGATAAAGTGGACCTCATTTAACGTGGCACTGTGCTACCTTTCCGCAATTTAACAACTCAAGTCATGCTCAAAATTTCTAAGCAAGGATTTTTCTTCTAGTTTCAGAATTCAATGGAAGGTCCAGAGAAGCTTTATCGTGGGTGGGATATATAATTCCTCAAACAGTTAATAGAGGTTATGGTACTCCATTTGGTAATTATTCACCCTAGAAATCTGTAACAGAAATATGTTAGAAGCAGGTACAGAACGTGCACGCAAAAACCAAAAGGTTTACAAAGGTTAATACTTTTAGTCTATCTATAGCCTTTTTTAAACAAAATCTGCATCACTTATGCCAAAATATTATATCGTACCACCACTTACAAACTTTTCCCTAGCCGTCATCATGTCTTCAGCAGTTTTTTCATTAAGACCTTGTGAGAGGTCGGCATTTATCTTGATTTTACAAAATGGCTATACACATAAATGGCACACCCCTCTTGTGAGACTAAAAGGTCATCAGCTAGCAATCAAGTAGCGCAAATCTAAACGTTGCGGGCAGCATGAGTCACAACGGCAACATTAAGAGTAATATCCTCTACCCCCACAGCCCACTGAATAAAAAAGAAAACAGACGCGAAAGTCACTACTTCTTAGGCGAAGGCGTAAAGCGAAGTTCTGTGACGAACCCCACCGCTAACCCAAAGGCGCTACCAAAGGCTTAGCCAAGCGTCTGCCAGCCGCGCAGGAACTCGAAATCAAAAATAATAACAACGATTCACACCCAAACTGGTTTACGATACAGCATTAACTATTACATTGCTCAAAAGTGTCACTATGATACATCACAGTACAGCAGCAAAAATTGTCTATATACAATTCAAAAGTAGAAGTCCGAACTACTGCTTCATGCCATCACTACAACTATGACCATAAGGTGGACCCTAAGGTGGGTCCGAACACTTATCACTATTACTATTACACGCCTATCAACTGCCCAAAGAAAGGTATTAAACCTAACTAAACTAGTCAAACGCCCAAAAGTGGTCCCCGCGTCGACCCCTGAAAGGAAAACAAAAAGAAGGGGTAAGCTAAACGCTTAGTAAGTACGCAGGGGTAAAAGCGGAAATTTTACATAGTAGGAGCAATTAAAGTCACATAGCACCCAGTTATAAGCGAAATAATAACACATATGTAGGATACAGATTGGCTTCAAAGCCAAGTAGTTTGTCATGATTGACCACCTGCCGACACTCCGTCGACCGCAAATTATGGTCCGTAGAGCTCCACTTGTCAACCCGCCATCCACCTTAGCACCCACACTGGCCAGTCACCCACACACACATAATAGCTCGAGCAAAGTTGGTTCATGCACACAGGTTCACATATTTGGTTCACAAACCAATTCACATATTTAATTAACCTAATGATCTCAAGTCTAAGTTAGACTAGCTCCGACCAGGCCCCTGCCGGCTCGATTAGTCCAACTAGGTTATGAGATCGGGCCCCATACATATCACATGTCACACATATCACAAATGTCACCCCGAGCTACAAGCTCTAGGGATTTAGTCCCAACAGCATGTCATTGGCACAAATCAAGCACAAGTACAGGTACATTTTAGGGTTTAGGTCGAGTGTGATAAAGTACACGCTCGCCTAAAGTCCCTTTCATTTAAAGCATAACACATAAGGGCGTTGACTTAGACACATAGCCCTAGATACTTACAAAAATACAAAACGAGTAAGATAAGGAACTAGACGTCGTGGGGTCCGCTAGTGGGTCCCAGTTGCTCCGTCAAGCCCACCGCTGTCTGCAATAGTAAATTGTATCACATTAGGCTAAAAACGGCTAAAACGGCTAACATATAGCAGATTACAACCAAAACGGCTAAAACGGCACGCGCGCGCGTAGAAACGACCCAACGGAAACGGAAACGGTTAGCGACAACGGAAACGGCCGTTTGTGAGAAAAGGCAGATTTGATACTTGTTCCCATTTTGCTCATAAGTTGAGCTACGAATATCGGATTAAGGCGTATGAGAAACCATTTCGAAGATTAAAGAATGAACAACAATTGTTACGAAGACATCCAGAACTGAAACTGGAAGCTTTCATCCCAAAAGAACCAAACAAAGTCATCCACGGAATCTGACCCATGCACAAATGGTCAGTTTTGAGGTGCAAACTGTTTTCTATGATACACACGGCCAAATGAGTTGAAAATTGGCAGTTAGATAGCTCATTCCAAATGGAACAACTTTCATGAAGGCCGACAACCCAAATTCTGAACGGAAACTGGTCATCAAGACCAAAACAGATTTGACCAGAATATGGTCATTTTCTTGGACAAGCCAACTTTGAACGGCTATAGCTCAGGCTACACAACTCCGTTTGAAGTGTACTTTATACCGTTTCGACGCTGAAACTAAGAGTTACATTTCTTATGAAGGCGACAAGACCCAATTCGCATGGCATCTAGACGAACCAGATACAGTCAGAATGCGTACCAGAATTGAATTGGAATCAAAGAGTTGTGCACAGTAGACTTGTACTAACCATATCCCAGGCCACATGAATCGGATGGGTCTGAAACTTTGCAGGTCTACAGAACACTTCTAGGGCTACAAGTTTTGTGTTTTGGTCACAAGCTCAAACAGCTTGTAACTTGGTCAAAATTCGAAGGCAAAGGTCCAGTTCTAAACTGTCCTGTTTGGCTATTTCGCAAGAATAACGCGCGCAATCGCGTGGGACGAATTCGCATAAAATATGTAAGCTTCTAAGGCAATTTTATTCCATTCTAACACATACACCACACTCTCTCACTGCCCTACCAAGACTCCCGAAATGCCTTCTCACGAACAGCCCCTAACCCCCACTCCAAACCAACCAAATTAACATCTCACACAACCCATTTGCAAGCCAATAATATCAATCAAACATGAACCAACACCAAACTACAACAACTCTAATTTCTTTTCCTCTTGGCCGGTTATCATGCAATCAAATTTAATCAAATTTAAGCCATGAAACTTCTCCATAATCAAGCCAATAACCAAACTCAACCACCAAGATAATCAAAGCCACAAGAAACCCTAAGTTCCATAGCCATGGCCAAAACCTAAAGGTGCATATTTCCTTCAAAGTAAACCATGAAATTTCATATACAACCACCAAGAATCATCTCCAATACATTAACCAAGACAATAACATCAAGTCACAACAAATTCAAAGGCTACAAGCCTTAATCATCCAAGAGGGTTTCATAAGAGGTTCTTACCTTGAACAAGGAAGAAGGATAAGGCCAAGACAACCTCTACCAAGCCTCAAGTAGAGCTAGCAAGCCTCAAACTTCAAGATGGAAGCTTCAAATGCAAGAAGGAAGCAAGAAACAAGTCACGGTTCTTCTTCTTCTTCTTTTTCTCTTCACGGTTCTCTTCCCTTTTCTCTCTCTCTCTCACGGTTCTTTTCCCCTTTTCTTTCCTTTGTTGTTTTAACTCTAAGACTTATGCTTCTATGGTCTCTTATGTCTTAAGATTATAAGACATCACAACTTCCAACACTATAGATATTTTGAAGTCTTGGCCAATCACAAGAAAGTATGCTAATTGCCTTTAAGTCCTTGCTTCCATGATTTCTTACTTTCTCAATCTTACCCAACTAACTTTCATTTTCTATCATTTTACTCCATAGGACTTAATCTTAGCTTAATCCAAATGTCCTAATCTCACTTAGCAATTGCACTAATCACCCTTAAACCTTACTTACCTATTCTAAATCAATCTTTATCACACTTAAAATCAACCAAATAGCCACTTTTATGTCAAGGCCAAAATTAGAGTATAAACTAACTTAAACACTTTAAACCAAGGGTTAACTAGGGTTTCTCCTCGTTTAGGGTTTTCTAACCTTTTAAACCCACTTAACCCTATATCAATCTATACAAACACATACCTACACATGTCTAATACACATTCAAACATGCAATTGCAATAGAAATGGCTATCTAGGGTTTCGCTTAAAAATTTTTGATTTTTGAGCAATTAGGGTTTCTCAAATTCCCAATTAGGGATTTTCGGATTATTTGGAATAAAATCACACTAACTTATTATTTTCACATAAAATCACAATTTAGGGCAACCGGGGTCTCACAAGTTCAACAAACTAAAACACAGGCAATTGACACTTTTACTCAAACTGATAGAAAACTGAAGTCATTGATATAAGATTTCAAAATAATAGCCACACGACAAATAGCTGAATATGCCATATATGCCTCAAATGGACATACTTCAAGTGCAATGACTTCAAATTGCATGTCAAAATAGCTAACCGCCAGATCAGTAGTTACAGAATTACTCAAATTTCTACCACATTTGACCATCATAATGTAAGCCTTGTTATCAGCTCTGTACAGCAACAAAAGAAAGTATTCCACAGAAATAACCTTTTTTTTGTCACGGGATTGAAAGTACTACTATACAAGAAGAGAACATGCACAAAACTAACTTCTTCTTCTTAAAATAGCAAGGCACATCTACTCTTATGATCAAGTGTACTAATCGACAAACAACATGGTAAGAGTGTCCATCTTATATAATACTAAGAAATATTGGTGTCATATTCATACCATTACATGCACATAAGGATCTTGAAAACAATATCAAAAGAAATTATCACAAGCTGTGAAACCATTACATATAACTTTAATTGGAGACTCTTGATCCATACTCACCCATTAAATCCACACCCTTCCATGCATTAAAACTCGTAACTTTAGCACTATATACTAGTACAAGGTATGGATCTAGGATAAATATGCATTGATTTCAACCCTCCCAACTCCATTTCCCCCTAAAATAGGAAAGCACCAGATTTTAAATTAATCAAGCATATAGTAGGCGCAGCTAAGCTTCTATTTAATAGCTATGACACATCCCAAAAGGTAGTCCAAATCAGTCTTCTGACTCTAAAGTTCAAGAAGGTTCAATTATGTTTTAAAGATAAAGTAGGAAAAAGTATTCTAAATTCCACATTCATCAAGGATTTGTGCCAAGACCAGATGCTCTCAAAAGTTAAACAAATTTCTAGATGCAGATCAACACACATACAGATGCAAAACCTAACTCTACCTGTGCTATACAACTTGACCCACAGTAAAATTGAGAAAATTAACTTACTGTTGCATCTCAGTGACAAGAGAAACGAGTAGATCAGTGAGATCTGTCCTAGATGGAAGATCTTTTGGAGGACCAATGTGCCTATCAAGGGTCATGTTTAGAATTAGGTCAGCATCAGGATCAATCAGGGAACTAGAAGGGTATTTCTCAATTTATAACATAGAATGTAATGCCGGATCTTTCAAATATTGCCATTTGGCTAACAGAGTTTCTATATCCATTCACATTGATTGTTCTGGCTAACTTTTATAACATAGAATGTAACGCCGGATCTTTCAAATATTGCCATTTGGCTAACAGAGTTTCTATATCCATTCACAATTGTTGATTCTGAACAAAATTAACTGACCGATATAAATGCCAAATGGCTCATACCTATAAACCTTATGGCACTTCAAGTCACACAAAAAAGGAAAATGGGAGTCTAATAGGGTCAAGTAATTGCAATACAAATTACTTCAAACCTATACAATCAAATTCATTCACAAGTTTTTAGATGGTTACTCTTATGGGGTTCAAGCCTTCAGCAAAACGCACCATGCATACAATGCTGAAACTAATGAAGATGAAATGCAGTGTATACTGGGTGTGTGTCTCAGATTAATCCCACCCTCGCCTAACGTTGAAATGATGAATGTCAACAATCTAAAAGAATTGTTTTCCAGCCCAAACAAAAGAAGATCCTAACGATCCTGTATTCAAGAATTTCAGATTGACTTCTTTTTAATTTTCGCAAAATCAGAATCTATGTCATAAATAATGTGTTAGAATTACATAATAACATTTTTTCCTTCTATCCTTGAGCATATTCCATAAGCTTCACATGCTTATATGGTGCACTTATCCAATCCCAAGCTGTAGTAACACAGAAAACCTTTACATATGATCTATCATATAATTGAAACACATGTCAGCGGCTATTTTCTTTTGCTTGACATTATTTAGTCGCATTTAAAAGGCTGTCCTTGCTCAAAATAAGCTCATTGTAGCTTAAAAGCTTTTTTGGGGCATCCTGCTGCTTTTCACTTTTATTATTAGCTAATATTAGCTAAAACAATCTAAACTCTCAACCACACTTTCATTTTCTTTTGCTTACATCTTTAGCTTTTCAAGCTTTTCTGACAAACAAATTCTTGGAATTGGGATTCTCTTAACAGTCTTTCAAGACATAATTTCTGAGCAAATTTAGAAAAGCTAAAGAAAACTATAGAGTTACAGAGGAAAACAATAGCTGTATGATAGGATACATGGTCAAACACTGCACTCAAACCCAATCAATAATGCTAGGCAGGCGAGTCAAATGGATTAAAAAACTCAATCAAGTGATGAATGAGTCCAGTTCGTCATATCCTGAGCCTCTTTTCCCGCAGACACTAGTCAAGCTGTGACATGACACCCAAGTATGACTAATTTGGCTTTGGAAGGGAAGCGCCTAGCAAAGTTACTACCTGTATCACATGAAATTTGACAATACTATGCACTCTACAATAGTAAAAGCTACATTTAAAGTTTGTATATCACAAAAATATGTTACTTATGGTTAACATAGAATTAAATTTTAAACAATTTGATACAATCAATCACTACAAGGAAATTTCTTAATGAGATAATCAATTTTGAATTAAAACCCAATGTCAGTGAGATTTCTGAAATTCTTTTTCCTGATTTGTTTTACCTAATTTGGTCAAGTTAAAATGAGTTATATGACTGACATTTCATTTAGAAGTTGTTCTCCTTTATTAGTCTTAAGTAGACACGTAACAGCACCAATTCTGATATTGGCCATTTATCATGTTGTTCAATAGAAAATCTTGTTTCCACCAGAAACTTTTTTTTTTTAAAGCACCTATAGTTATTTCTAGAGTCATTTTGTTCTTGTGAAAAAATTTTAGTTGCAATATAATGCAACAATACCAAGCTTTCAAAATGCAATATATCTGCCTTACCATATCTATAGTTTGTGATAGATCATACATAAACCAATGACATGTTGGTGAGCTACCTCTAACACAATCCACTGTTGTGCTATTTGGTATCCAGAAATTATTTTGAGGCCCTTTATGAAATGCCACTTGTCCACAATGATTATAACATGCTAACTGCTGACAGAAAAAAGTACCGCTTGGTAGACACAAAGGTGAACCTATTATGAACAAACTTGAATGGGCGAAAGAAGTGAGCAATCCTCTTTTTGATTCTTAAATGTCACACTCACTCACTTACTCTGATTTTCTTTCTTTTAAGCACTCATATACCAGTTCTTTTATTCTTCATAAAAAATGGCAATTCCTTTTTGAAATTCTATCATGTGGTTCACAAGAAAATAAACCTAATAATCGCATGCTCACCTATAACTTTGAATATGGAATTACAAGTATAATGTAGGAGACATGCATGATCAATGTGCAAGCACACTTAACTTTCATGTTGTTCAATATCTCCATTTCATTGCATTCTTTTTCTGGCATTTAGTATTTAATCTAAACACCAGTTCAGATATGATCCAAGATTATGCACGTGTATGCAAAAGATTTTCCCTTGCACTCTTTTTCATAAAATCCTGAAACTTCAGTATTTCTAGTTTCCCAAGACACTTGGAGAAACTTCCATGAAGGAACCACATTAAAATGCATTTCCCTTTTAAATAACACCCTTCATCCTGAGTCGTCAATACAAAGATTAAGAAAAACCCAGATCTACAAGAAAGATCTTGTTCTTCTTTAGCACCTAAATACTCGCAACAGATCAAAGTACACCCTTATATATTAGGCACGTAATCATTGTAACTTATTTTAAAATTTTCAAATAAAAAATAATAAATTAAATAACCATGACAAGTGGCATTTAGCAACAATTAAAAGATTGTTGATATGTAAATTATTAAAAGTATAAGAGTAATAACCAAAACCAGGAAAAAAAAAAGCTTCGGTAAGTCACGACCTGAAGTATCAATATATCCCAAAACATGCATCTAAAGAAACAAAGCATGGTATATTGTCATCTCCAAGTAAATAATAGGCATCCACACAACTATTTTGAAATCCATACCCTTCATTATCTTGATTGTGAGACCTAAAACAAGGATCACGATGAGTACGTTGAGGACTACCCCTCGGCCTAAGCATCCTCTTACACTGCTGAACTCCATATTAAAAACTTCTCTCTCCCTTTCTGCACCTCCTTCATCTTCACCACATCCTTCGTCTGACTCCTTGTCATGATTCTTATTGAGTTTGTCATACCTTTCGCCTTCCTCCTCTGCATCTCTTTCCTTTTTCATCGTTCTAGGATCCCTGTCAACATTTTTCCAACTATCATTATCCTTTTATTTCTTTAATTCTGATGTTGGATTCTCTTGCTCTGCAGCTCTGCTGGGGATGTCTAACATTTCCTTATCACTGCGAGGACTTTCTTTTTCAGATCCATTCCCCAATTCCTTTTTCAT